TTAGACAGCCGATATCATTCTGTCGTGCATTGGTATTGGTATGCGTCTCAGCCCATTTATCGCCATTTGTTTTCAAAATAATCTGATTCGGGAACACAAGCAACGTGTTGACGAAACACTTTTGGTAATAGTAATTTTTGGGATATGAAATACCAAGTTTTTATAACGTAGGGCTTCGGTAGAAGGTACATCCATGTTCATGTCTTCAAGAGATGCTGTGATGTTCACTACTTACCAAGTCACGACTCATTACCACTTACCACGCGACTAAGCTGCCATCGTTGATCTTAATAATAGTCATCGGACATCAATGTTAATTGTGAATTGTGTATGCTTTCACGAAAGCCTGAGATGCACATTGCACACCCACGATGCTTTTATTTCCTTTCATACGGTTCCAGTGAGGGAATACAGCGGCGGGAGCAGTCACTGGGGTTATCAATTGTAGTTAGTGTAGGCATACATTTTCATGCTTCTCATTTTGCGCGCCTTCCGCCCAGGGTCGGTGGGGCTTTCCGGGGGAGCGCGGAACAGCAAACCTTCCATGGTCTGGAACTCCCTCCCCCCCCCTCCCCCGCCGCACCAAGCAGGACCATTGGGCCGAGCGGGGACTGAAGACTGAGCGCAGACCCGCCCGATGCTCCAGCCGATCGATCCGCAACAGCAAAACGACGTCAGTGGGTGACCGGACCCGCGGTGAGAACAGTGTGTGTCGCCCGACCAGGTGGGGTAATCGCCGCCCCCCCCCCCCCTGGAACAGCCATAACGGTAGCCCCCATTTTCCGAGATGGTCCCATAGGCGGATCCTGCGGGGGGGGGGGGGCACGGGGCCATAGCGTGTACGTGTACCACGGGGCTTGATAAAAGTTTCGTCTACTTACCGTCTGTTTTAACTGTTTTAACTGTCTTGTTTTATCTTGTGTTTAAGACTCAAAAGCATTCGGTGTTTGAATGGTGTCCCTACTAGGTACACGCGAGAGGCACCATGCACTGGACCTCGGATCCCACACCAGTCAGCTGGCGGCGAACGGTTGCCCCCCCCCCCCCCTCCACAACTCCAGGCTAGATCCGCCCCTGAATGGTCCACCACGTTAAGACTAATGGGAGTGAAAGACAGACCACCGGCGAAACAACATGTGCGCGGGAATGTGTGTCTGAAATGCTTTGAAGATGCTATCGTTCCGCTCATGAACTCCGCCGCGTCGGCGCCGCCGTCACCCCAGCTGGCATCAGGGGCGCCACGCCACGTGAGAACTGGGCCGGAGGGGGACGTATAGGGCCCGTCCGAGGCGAGGTAGAAAGAGAGCGGGCGGGCCTAGCATCTTCGCCGGCGACACCACGCCCGAGCTCTGGCCCAGGGACATGTTGGGGGCCATGCCCTGGAAGCAGCGCAGGCCGGCCCAGCAACATATTAGACAGAACATTAGATTAGACACAACAAATTAGACATTAAACATGCGGCAAAACTGTCGTGAGAAAACAGGGAGGACCGACCCGGTTGGAAAGTTTGCCAGGAGGAGCTAGCAGAAAGGAGAGTCTCCCAGGACAGTCCGAAGTGAGGAGCGCGGAGGAGAAGTGGCGGCGACATCTGACCCCGCGGACGACGGCCCGCCTCACCGTGGACAAGACGCAGCGGAGCGTCGTCCGAAAAGGGCGACCTCACCCTGGAGGTCAGGCGAGGGAACGAGTAGTCGCCCAGCTCCGGACACCTGATGCCAGCCCAGCGGCTGCCTCGGTGCCCAGCTGATAAGTTAACACGATATGTTCTAAATTAAACGTGGCTTAAACGTGGCTTTATTGGCTTGTGGAGCGTGATACATAAATTTAATTTGGCTTCACGGGACTCGCGCAGCCGTACCAATTATAATGTCAAGGCGCTAGATAAAATTGGGGGGGGGAAAGGGAGTTCGCCCGTGGGCGGGCCAAGAATGAGTGGGGTGACGTGGGCGCCAGCGGATGTGTATGTTTGGAGTGAGTGTGGCTGGGCGCCGAGTGCATGAATTTCGTGTGGATTAATCAACACCGAAGGATCTGCCAGTGTTGTTATCCAGCGGGCCCTTGTCAGTGTAATTCGCCGGTTGTGTGAGATCCCTGCCAACTTGGGCGTATCATCAATGCATCTGGTTCGGGTATCGTGGTTAAAGGTGTGCAACCATGTACGGGGAGACAGCCGTTCACGGTGGCTGACCGGGCCTACCGTCCAACCAAAGCTCCGCTCTCCCGACTTCATCACGCTCTTTGGTCCATGTGTGTGTGTGTGTGTGTGTGGTGTTGTGTGTGTGTGTGTTGGTGTTGTGGTGTGTGTGTGTGTTGTGTGTGTGTGTGTGTGTGTGTGTGTGTGTGTGTGTGTGTGGGGTGTGTGTGTGTGGTGGGTGTGTGTGTGTGTGTGTGTGTGTGTGTGTGGTGTGTGTGTGTGTGTGTGTGTGTGTGTGTGTGTGTGTGTGGTGTGTGTGTGAGTTGTGTGGTGTGTGTGTGTGTGTGTGTGTGTGTGTGTGTGTGTGTGTGTGTGTGTGTGTGTGTGTGTGTGTGTGTGTGTGGTGTGTGTGTGTGTGTGTGGGTGGTGTGTGTGTGTGTGTGTGGTGTGTGTGTGTGTGTGGTGTGTGTGTGTGTGGGTGTGGTGTGTGTGGTGTGTGTGTGTGTGTGTGTGTGTGTGTGTGGTGTGTGTGTGTGTGTGTTTGGTGTGTGTGTGTGTGTGTGTGTGTGTGTGTGTGTGTGTGTGTGTGTGTGTGTGTGTGTGTGTGTGTGGTGTGTGTGTGGTGTGTGTGTGTGTGTGTGTGGTGTGTGTGTGGTGTGTGTGTGTGTGTGTGTGTGTGTGTGTGTGTGTGTGTGTGTGTGTGTGTGTGTGTGTGTGTGTGTGTGTGGTGTGTGTGTGTGTGGTGTGTGTGTGTGTGTGTGTGTGTGTGTGTGTGTGTGTGTGTGTGTGTGTGGTGTGTGTGGTGTGTGTGTGTGGTGGGTGGGTGTGTGTGTGGTGTGGGTGTGTGTGTGTGTGTTGTGGTGGTGTGTGTGTGTTTGTGTGGTGTGTGGTGTGTGTGTGTGTGTGTGGTGTGTGTGTGTGGTGTGTGTGTGTGTGTGTGTGTGTGTGTGTGTGTGTGTGTGTGTGTGTGTGTGTGTGGGTGTGTGGTGTGTGGGTGTGTGTGGGTGTGTGTGTGTGGTGTGGTGTGTGTGTGTGTGTGGTGTGTGTGTGTGTGTGTGTGTGTGTGTGTGTGGTGTGTGTGTGTGTGTGTGTGTGTGTGTGTGTGTGTGTGTGTGTTGTGTGTGGTGTGTGTGGTGTGTGTGTGTGTGTGTGTGTGTGTGTGTGGGTGTGTGTGTGTGTGTGGTGTGTGTGTGATGTCGGGTGTACCGGAGTCACAACGCGCCGAGTCGTGCGCTCACATCATCTGGCTCGTATGCTGACCAATCGGCTCCTCAT